CCTCTCATTCCCATCTCCTCCTTCCTCCTCCCTCTCATTCCCATCTCCTCCTTCCTCCTCCCTCCTTTCCCTTCCATCTTTCCTTCCTCCCTCCTTTCCTTCCTTCCTTCCTCTCTCCCTCCTTTCCTTCCTTCCTTCCTTCCTCTCTCCCTCCTTTCCCTCTCTCTCTCTCTCTCTCTCTCCTTCCTTCCTTCCCTGTGGCCAAAACCTTGCTTTGGCTCTCTTCCTGGCCTCCTCCTCCTCCTCTTCCGGTCCCAGGTGCGAACTCTCCATTGAGAAGTCCACAGTGCTGCAGTCGGAACTCGAATCCTGCAAGGAGCTTCAAGCCTTGGAGCCAGAGAACAAGTGTAGGTTCCGGATCTCCTTCGCTCCCACGCAACTCGGGCCGATCCCCAGAAGAGCCCTCAGTAGCAGCCTCAAATCTTTTTTCCCAAGTTACTAGTCCTTAAGACTTTCCTGACAGCCTGTTAGCCCCTCTAGAGGTTCTTAAGACCTGCCCCGGGGACCTCCAGTTTTAAGAACCTTCTTCAGGACTAGCAACTTGAAAGATACAGGCACTCCCCGACTTACAACCATTCAGAGTTACAGCAGCGCTGTTCAAAACAACTCACAACCGGTCCTCACACTTAAAACCTTCACAACATCCCCACGGCCTCACCATTAAAATCCGGGTGCGTTATTTGTGACGATGGCAGCATCCCGGAGTCACATGAGGGCCCCCCCCCCATTCGTGATTTTCCCAGGCGGTTTCCGACAAAACAAAATTGGGGGGAGGGGGAGCCGGTTCGCTTAACGACCCGATGATTTACTGAACGACTTCCGGGATTCACGAGGCCAAAAAAGGTTGTAACGTCAGGCTGCCTTCCTTTCCTTAGCAATGGAAATTCCGTTCCCAAAGGCCGTTGTAAGTCGAGGACTACCTATAAACAGACGATCAAGGGAAAGATTAAACATAACGGGAATGTTTTATGGTTTTTAGCGGGACCTCAACGACCCAATTAGGCCAGGCAGGCAACAAAGTTATTTTAACGCTTCCTACAGCTCTTTTTCATCCAGAAAAATATGCAGAATAAAGGAAGTTTTCGCCAATGAATTTGTGGTTTCCCAAGGCAGTAAAAATCACGTGCTAAGTCCCCCAAAACCCTCTTTTTATTTCAACGGCTGGGAATTACCGTATTTTTCAGATTATAAGACGCACCTGACTATAAGACGCACCTAAATTTAGAAGAGGGAAATAACAACAAAAGGTTTTTGGCCTCTGCACACCACATTTTCAGCCGTTTTTGAGTGCCTTTTTTTTGGCCCTTTTTTATACCCATTTTTGAGGCTTTTGTGCCCATTTTGGGATTTTTTTTCAGCCCATTTTTGAGGCTTTTTTCAGCCCCTTTTTTCCAGAATCATGATCTGAAAAAAGCTCCATAAATGGGCTGAAAAAAGGCCTAAAAACAGACCAAAAAGGCCTGAAAATGGGCTGAAAAAAAGTCTGAAAACGGGCTGAAAAAAGGCCTGGAAACGGGCTGGAAAAAAGTCTGAACATGGGCTGAAAAGGCCTGAAAATGGGCTGGAAAAAAGTCTGAAAACGGGCTGGAAAAAAGTCTGAAAATGGGCTGAAAAAATGTCTGAAAATAGGCTGAAAAGGGCCTGAAAACGGGCTGAAAAAAGGCCTGAAAACAGGCTGAAAAAAGGCCTGAAAATGGGTTGCAAAAAGGCCTGAAAACGGGCTGAAAAAAGGCCTGAAAATGGGGCAAAAAAGGCTTGAAAACAGAGCCAAAAAAGGCCGAAAAAAGGCCCGAAAACAGGGCATGCAGAGGCCAAAAAGTAGCCGGCGGATGGGCAATATTTGGTCTATAAGACACACAGACATTTTCACCCCCTTTTGGGAGACAAAAAAGTGTGTCTTATAGTCCGAAAAATACAGTATATTCATTCACAGCCCATAATGAGTCCCAAACAGTTTGTGAAGAGTCCGACAGGAGTCTGCCAAAGTCTTTCGGGAGAAGGCTGATAAGCACCCACCTTTCTCTCCCTTGAAACGCTGCC